TATCATAACCATCAAGATAAATAGATGCATTTATACTTTTCCATGAGCTCTTCTTTTTGAACTTATGTGCTATGTTTGGCTCTTTGCCCATCAACCAGGTGAAATAGTCTAAGTTTAACGAAGAAGAGGGATGAAGTTACATCCGGCCCGTGCACACATGCAGAGTCATACTGGCCTGTTTGAACCAACAGTTGTCATTGTATGTTATTTTAATTTTTTTATTTTTCCTTGGAGAGGAAAGAAAACAAAAGGAAACATGACATACGTGTGAGGAAACAAATGATAATGTTTCTTAATTTGCTTAGTGAAATTGTGATCTTATTCAAAGCAGAGTTTGTAATACATTTGCCTCTCACCTGTTATGAAAGCAAAAATAATCAATTCCCCTTTCCTTTTGATAACTCATGATGCGTACTTGCTTTATTTTTGTTGCCTTCATTAGGGAAATAGGTGTGTGCTTCATTTTTTTCACATATATTCTACAGTTTCTTTTTTCTTAAAGATTTATTTCTTTTTTAGGGGGGAGGGGCAGAGAGGAGGGGGAGAGAGAGAATCTCAAGCAGACTCCCTGCTGAGCATGGAGCCGGATGCTTGGCTCGATCCCGCGACCCTGAGATCATGACCTGAGCGTGATCAAGCATTGACACTTAACCAACTAAGCTGCCCACATGCCCCTTCTACAGTTTCAAAAAGACTTCTAGCATAAAGTTTTTAAGGGCAAAAAACAGTTTTCTAATTTTCTTATAAAAGTAAAATGGTAAAAAAAAATTTTAAAAAAATTAAAAAAAAGAAGATAGCAGGAGGGGAAGAATGAAGGAGGAGAAATTGGAGGGGGAGATGAATCATGAGAGACGATGGGACTCTGAAAAACAAACTGAGGGTTCTAGAGGGGAGGGGGCGGGGGGATGGGTTAGCCTGGTGATGGGTATTAAAGAGGGCACGTTCTGCGTGGAGCACTGGGTGTTATGCGCAAACAATGAATCATGGAACACTACATCAAAAACTGATGATGTAATGTCTGGTGATTAACATAACAATAAAAAATTTTTAAAGAAAAAATAAAAAAATAAAAAATGTATCGGAGAACAAACTAAATGAAAAAAAAGGTAAAATGGTTAACGAAATTTTCTAAGATGTGTGTGGATATATGGAGACTCATTTTGGCAAATCTGACATGATTACTTACTTACCAGACCATTTCTTTTTACCTAGACTAGTACATTTGAAATGAGATATTTGAAATAAAGAGAGCAAAGCTCGATGAAATAAAAGGCTAATAAAATATGTTTGGGCCAACATCAAAACTCTTTGAAAGAGGATATCTAAATAATGTGCATTTTATCTCAGAGAGTCTTGGGTTAGTTCTCATGTCCAGATGACTATTAACAGGCTTTGTGCTCTGAAGCATATGTTAATAGAAGTGATCATTTTGGATTAATTTGATGTGAATTAATAAGAGATTTATTTGATGGGAGTTGTTTGAAGGTGATGACATTTAAATCTCAGCAGGATTTAAGATATCCAAAAATACCTTTAAAGATTCAGGAACAATCAATTCAGAGAGAGCAAATTAAATAGACATGGATAGCAAAGAACAGGATCTGACATTGGGTTTATGAAGTTTGAAGCAGTTTACAAAAAAAGTGATCTACCATTGAAGTATTGCTCTGGAATCTGAAGAAACAGAAACATTTAAACTCCTTCAGCAATTCTTGGGTTTATGATTTGGATAAACAATGTTCTCTTGCATTTTATAGTTCACTTAAGCAATCTGATTTTGATCTGTATATATGGAGTAGACAGGATTCAAGGTTTTTTCTTTTTTTTTAAACCAATGAGCAAACACATATGTTCTTTAAAACTGAACTTTATATGTTGTTCATATGGAAGCTATCTAGTTTGCTATAGGCCCCAAACTTGACCTTCCTTTTATTTTGCTATCACTTGCTTAATTCTTTAAATTCTTTGTGGGGGACTTTTGATCAAAAGAAACAATTTACTATTTTTTTCTTTCTTCTTAATTTTTTTTAATAAAACCTACATGAAATGTGTAATTAATAACTCGGTACTCCTAGGTTGTTGATACAAACGAGCACGGAAGAATCATATATTAAGGAGAAGACTACCATGTCTTTTCTTTTGTGTTAAGCTTTGATTTCAAACACTTGAAAGTTTTATTATCTGGACAAACAAGAAGAGAATGTCATCTGGTATTATATATTATGATGACAAGAACTGCTACTTATAATAAAAATCATACTCAACAGGATTTGAGGCTGAGCTTAAATTATAAAGCCGTTCTCCCTTAACGTTTTAGTCTTGTTGAGGTTCTTTCTATCTATCTATCTAGAGGAGTCAGTCAATTGGAAGTGCACTCAGTTGAAATGGTATTTGGAAAGATCCTACAAGGCTTTAATTTTTTTGAGAAAGAGGGGTTCCTTATAATATTTTTCTTAGCTTTTTAAAGATATCCTTCTCTCTTGAATGACTAATGGTAAAACTACAGTCATCTTACTAGATGTTGGGCACATACTTATGCTGGGTATACATTTATTGAATGAATGAATGAATGTTGGAGGAAATGAGTAACTGAGTGAATGGTAAACCTCAGTGGTATTTATGCCTTCCTTAGTTATTGATGGTTTCATATTTTACAGTTTTTTAGGGAAATTGGAAAAAGTTTTTCTTAGGTAAAACTATAGTGCCTAAGCCATTAACCAGAACCATTATAGAATCTTAGAGGTTTGAGGAAGTTTAGAAATCATTTATTGCAATTCTTTCATATGAGTAAGAACAGAGGCTCAGAGAAGTCAAGGGGCTTGCCCTGGATTACGTCAGCCACTGATTGGAATCAGGTTCAGAAACGGGACATGTCATTGCTGTACCATTCTTCCTTCCTTTGTTTAGGGTCACGATGCTACAAAGAACATAGGAATTTATATCTCTTACCTTCAAGGAGCTTCTCATCTAATGGAAATAAATTCTTGTTCTAATCTGCACTGGCACTGGATGTATGTGTGATCTCAGCTCTCTTTTTAAATTACTGTAATAGTTGATTTCTTTGGTTGAGTAATTCATTTGATTACCTACTGCAAAACTCTTTGGAGCAAGTATTTCATAAATGTATGTGTGTATTATTTATGTATATGTACTTATACATACATATGAAATAAGACTAAATCATTAATGGTTAATTAAAAATATTTAGGTATTAAGAGAAAACTCAGATTCCTTTTGCTGTGATGATGCCATTCTGAGAACCTGAGTCACAGTCCTCTATAGAAAAAGGATTTTTTTCTTATATATTTAAGCCTTTTAATCAGTAAGATAAAAGACTTACCAGAATGATTTTTTTAAGCTTTTAATGCTGATTATTTCCACTGTCTGATACTATAATGTAGAAATAATACAGTATCCTACTGTTTCTTATAGTAAACTTTTTTTTAACTAAGAAATACAAAGAAAGCCTTTATATTTGTTTTAATTTAGGAGGAAATAATTTAGAAATTTGGATTTTTGCAAATGTCTTACATCTCAGTAATGAAAATAAATACAAATAGTGCATTTTTAGGAAGCTAAGCATGTTTTTTTACCTTCCTGAAGTATCTTGACACATAGTATGTATTCATGTTATGTCTGCTGTTAGAGGAGCTTTATGTATTTGTATAGGTGGGGAATGATGTAAACTTGGGACCCTCACCATCTCCACCTCATCCCCCTCCACCCCCCAGGTCAGTTTTTTATCTCAGAACTGAATAGAGGACTAAAGTTAGCAATTTGGAGTCTCGTAGCTCTCATTTAGATTCCTTAGTTCCTTCTTACCCGCTTCACTTTTAGCCCCATTATCCAAATGATTGTTTATAATGGACCTACTGTAAACTGGCATTTTGAACTCTTTTTTGGTAGTCAGTATGAGGGATATTGCTGTTATATAGTTGAATAAAGATGTTTTCAAATAGAGTTGCCAAAACACCCCTTGATGCGATTATCTAATTGTTTTATGACCATTATTGCAGTATCTGCCTTGATAATTTTTTTTTTTTAAATTATTTATTTGAGAGAGCAAGCAAGAAAGAGCACGAGCAGGGGGAGAGGGAGGTAGAGGCAGAGGGAGAGGGAGAAGTAGATTCCCCGCTGAGCAGGGCAAGCAAGGCAGGGCTTGATCCCAGGACCTGAGCCTAAGGCAGATGCTTAACCAACTGAGCCCCCGCCTTGATGATTTCATTCAGATAATAAAGATGATGGGATAATGAGGGTTGAAAGCTGGTTCAGTCACGATTTTATGAACCTATTTGTCAAGGGCAAAAATAGAAGTTTAGTAAAACTAGCTAAAAAGATAGCCCGTGTTACGGTGCGTAATGTTTCTGTAACTGTTGGGAAGGCCTACACAGATCCCAATTCTTGATGGCATTGCAATAGTTCCTTTCTCAGCCGCATGGTATATACACTGCTGCTGTGAGTTTGGAAGAGATTTGCAATGCGTACCACTTCTTGTCTTCAGCTGTGACTGTATAATATCAGTAGGTACACCTGCTATCTTTTCCAGAAGCATGTCCCCTCCACGTTTACTAATTAAGATCATCTATCCCCACCCCATTGTAGGTAAGTATTCTGGTCCTTAGGGTTTGGGAGGTTAAATCATACATCACAGTCTGTTGTGAAAATGACTTCTGTAATCTTTTATATCACGTTCCTCCTTTTCCTGCTGTTTTATTAAAACCCAGGGTGGGGGAAAAACTTGCTCAAGGTTTGCTCATGCATTTATTAGGTATCTTTGAAGCAGCCTGTGGTGTTGGCATATTAATGTATTTTAGGTGTGATATGTTAACGCGTATTTACATCATTTAGGAAGGAAATATTTTTTTGCTTTGTTTTGCAGATATACAGATCAGCTCTCAAAATGTCTTCTGTGTCTTCAGAGCGTCTTCTAAGACAATTGCATTAGCCTCCTGCTAGTTGACTAATAGAATTAATAATTGTAAAAAGCACTCTAAAGCCACATGCCTTATGAAGTCAATGCTGGGTATGATTTTACAAGTATGTGATCTATTTTTTCAAGTGAAAATGTTAACTGGAAAAGTTCTTGGCACACAGTAAAACATCGTGCAATCTGTTATTTGTCTTAAAGATAATAACTTGAGGGTGGTTATAGCCTTACGATATCTAACTTATGACTTGTTAGGGGAGTTTCTTCCACTTAGAAGTATTGCAAATGTGCGTATATTTACATAATATGTCATTCTGAAAAATTATGGTGATATAATTCCTGTAAAAAATGATTTTTCTATAACTACTTCAAAGTATAGTCAACTAAGTTAACCATGATTTTTTTTAAAGAAACTAAAAAGAACATGCCCCTTCCACCCACAACAAAAAAGAAAACACAAATGACCTTTCTGATACTTCTTTGAAGTTTTAGCAGTTTGACATTCTTTGCGATGTATATTTTTAAGGGCTCTATTCAGTATAAGGAGTCAGTGAGTCATATGGGTTCTAAAGGTTTGTTCTTGGTGGAAGAGGGAACTGAAATTTGAAAGGATGATAATTTAATTAAATTGTATTTTCTTTTAGTGGCTCTAGTTGCTGCTTCAGTACTTTTTAAACTATGACCTATTACTTTTCTGCATGATAACAAATCAGCAAGGTCTAATTCTTTTTGTTCTGAAAAACAAGTTACATTTTTCAGTATTAACGTATTTATGGCTATTCACTTTTAAGTATTTTATCTTAGTTCCTTGCTATGTAAAATGTTGCTGTTTTTCTAATCACCTTGATACTAATATCTGGGCAGAAACCATTTTCTCTTCACTTTAATGGAAGGGTAATCTTAATGAGTTGGATTATTTCGTTTTCATTTCCTTATGAATCCTGCCTCTCATATAGATTTTTGTCTTTTTCTGTGTAACCTTATTTATTTCATTTTGGTGGCACTATCGTTAGGGTTAACTTATACTGAGGAGAAGATGTTGAAATATGAATGGTATGGTTATTCAGTATTTGTCCAAGAAAAGATTAAATTGCAATGGTTACTAAAGACTTTATGTGTAATAGGAAAAACAAACAGGAAATTCTGGAGGGAAAGACAAGAGGTGCTATAGCAAATCATCACAGTTTTAGGTGTGGTAGTGGCTGATACTCTATAAACTAAAATGTAGGCCAAGTTAGGAATAGCATTTTTTTTTTTACTCAAGCTCTTATATTTTTTTATTATTATTTTTTGTATTTTAAATGATAACTGATTTCTTAAACTTCCATTTTATTATTTTTTCTTTCCTTTTTAGTTTTCCTTTTGTTGACTACCAGTAAAATTGTCCCGCACTCTTCTGTGTGTAGGCACAAGTCCCCAAGTTCTGTCACTTCTGACAGAGGACTAGATGTCTCCCAAAATGTCAGCATCAACAGATGAGACATTAAAATGCAAACGTTAAAAAAAAAAAGTTAACCAGTGTTCCATTTTTTTTTTTTTTAACAAGGGTTACCTAGCTTAGTTTACTTTAGGACTAACGGTAATGACACCAAGGTGAAGACAATTTTCCCTCCCCACTCCCTGCCTTGGTCATACAGGTGACACAAGCATCACTTGTACTTGACACTTCAGTCCTTCATCCTATAACTGTTGTTGTTGTTGTTCCAAGAGGAACATATACATATTTATGTATATTTAATGACTAATGTTATTGTTATACAAAAAGGAGAGTGTACTTTCTTAAGCACAGTTACACTTTTTGACATCATTTAGTATTTTGACTAAATAATGACTTTATTTTGACTTAAGAATTTTGACCTTGGAAACAATTCTTTATACTCAATGAGGGCAATATCTTGGTTCAGTGATTCATATTACAAAAATTTTGCTTGACCAGCTCTTCGGAAATGAAGGTACACCTATATATCCAAAGCCAGGGTGGCTTCGTAGTACCTGTGAGAAATTATAGATGAAAACAACTAACACCTATTATTAATTTGGATTTTCTCAGGACATCATGGGTAATCATGGTGTAACTAAATGTTAAATCCGCCCCTGTGGCAGAGTCGGCCAGTGAAGAAACCTTGTCTTATTAGTCAGTCACAGGTGGATTTTTCCTAAGCTATGTTTGGGTGACAACTCACACAGCACTTGCAGTTTTTCAGCTGGGGGATTAAGGAACATGAGCCATGAACCTCATTTCTCCCTCGAGCCTCTGTGACTGCCTTTTTGTTATTGACACGACACAAATTGCTTCTTATCTCCTTGTACTGAAGTTCTGATTCATTAGACTCTGGTAGAGGAATTTGTCACAGTGTTCTTATTTTGACCATACTCCTTGATGCCACGAACTTGAAAGGCATAGTTGAGCTAGCATGTGAAGGTAAGCCATGGGAAGCTAATATTTTGCCATGCTGAGCTACAAAATGACAATGTCATATGGTTCAATTTAATATTGTCCTTCTGTCATCTTCCAGTGTGCTCCCGCTGGTAGGATTGGTACTGTCTCCACCTCACTGGGCGTAAGAACCCAGGACTTAGTGAGGTTCCCCATCATGCTCGATAGAGTCCCCAGTACACCCAGCCTGGTCCCTCTGATGTGTCCCAGGTCCTCCTCCTGACTTTCAGGCAAGGTCTCCAAATGGGGCTTAAAGAAATTTATCGGTAGGACAGAGATGAAACATTTGTTATCCTTCATTCCTGAAAGTAATAGGGCAGTTTTCACATTGTTTATAACATGCTGTTTCTATCTCTTGCCTATGAGGATATTTTGGTTGAAACTATATTTATGTCTTGGTTGCCCAGTGTGTAACAATATTGAGTTCCAATTTATGTTGTTTATATACATATATACATAGCATATAAATAAACATGTAATATATATTCTGTAAACATAAATATGTATATTTATTTTACATAGTATGTGTATATATAATATATAAGGTTTATAAATAAGCATATATATATATATATATATATCATCAACTATAACTGAAGAAAGTGAGCAAAAAATGTTTGGCAAGCAAGAATAATAGGAAAAATAGAGCTAGTAATAATCAATATCTTGGTATTCATAAAACCATTTAAAAATAGTAAATGAGCCACTCTATGACAAAAATAATTCTAAGTGTAAATATTTGCTTTAGTCTCCGTTTTTTGCTATTTTTAAAACACTTTTTTCCTACAGGAAGTTTTTTTATATGCACCTTATAAAGCCTTGAATAGAATAAGTAAAATGCTCTAGATTAGATCACATATCTGCAGCTTTCAAATAACCTTGCATGTCCTTTTCCTTGCATTTTTACAGATATGGTCCGGAAAAAGAACCCCCCTCTGAGAAACGTTGCTAGCGAAGGCGAGGGCCAGACCCTGGAGCCTATAGGTACAGAAAGCAAGGTATCTGGAAAGAACAAAGAATTTTCTGCAGATCAGATGTCAGAAAATACGGATCAGAGTGATGCAGCAGAACTGAACAATAAGGAGGAACATAGCTTGCATGGCCAAGATCCACCCTCTAGCATCAAGAAGGGCTTAAAAAGCTCAGTCCTGAGCGAGAAGGCTGGCTTCAATTATGAAAGCCCCAGTAAAGGAGGAAACCTTCCCTCTCATCCACATGATGAGGTGACAGATAGAAATATGTTGGCTTTCTCATCTCCAGCTGCTGGGGGAGTCTGTGAGCCCTTGAAGTCTCCTCAAAGAGCAGAGGCAGATGACCCTCAAGATATGGCCTGCACCCCATCAGGGGACTCATTGGAGACAAAGGAAGATCATAAGATGTCACCAAAGGCTACCGAGGAAACAGGGCAAGCGCAGAGTGGTCAAGCCAATTGTCAAGGCTCAAGCCCAGTTTCAGTGGCCTCAAAAAACCCACAAGTGCCTTCAGATGGGGGTGTAAGACTGAATAAATCCAAAACTGACTTACTGGTAAATGACAACCCAGACCCGGCACCTCTGTCTCCAGAGCTTCAGGACTTTAAATGCAATATCTGTGGATATGGTTACTACGGCAATGACCCCACAGATCTGATTAAGCACTTCCGAAAGTATCACTTAGGACTGCATAACCGCACCAGGCAGGATGCTGAGCTGGACAGCAAAATCTTGGCCCTTCACAACATGGTGCAGTTCAGCCATTCCAAAGACTTCCAGAAGGTCAACCGTTCCGTGCTCTCTGGTGTGCTGCAGGACATCAATTCTTCAAGGCCTGTTTTACTAAATGGGACCTACGACGTGCAGGTTGGTGCTCTCTGCTGTTTTCTCTTCTTACAGAAAAAGCGAGTAGTAATGAAATGCGAATTCGTACACGTGTGTTAAAATCAAGCTCCCGATACCAAAGGGGTGGCCTGCTAGATTCAGCAGGACGGATGGACACATTCCATAGCTGTTTTAGGCAAATGTGTATTCTGAGGTGTCTTTCATCTCTTATCATGGAAAATAATATTTCTATTAGGTTCAGAAAAGTCTTTTCATAGGATTAGCTAGGCTTCGTATTTCTGGAAATATTTCATGGTAATTTGATGTTTTCCCATTCTTACAAAAATGCCACTAATCTTTATGGTTCCACATGATGATAGTTTATGCTTTGTTCTAGTTTTAGATTAGAAATCTTTCACTATCATCTTTCCTTCAGTGAGGATCTTTTCCTGTGTCTGGCATTAGGATTTGGTTTTTATACTCAATGTCAATCCAATTGGACTAGATTTGGGTCATATTGACAGTTGCAGAGATATACTCCAGAAAAAGGAACATAATTGCAAATGAAAATTTGGAAATAAAAGTTTACATTGATTATAGGGACAGTAAAGCATTCTTTTCTGCATTTAAGGAAAACAGTAATTTATGAAAGCATTTAGCAGTAATTTAGATTTCTGGTTTTATTAAAAGTGGCATACCTTTTTGATCTACTCTTCTGTCTTTAGTTGGCATATGGCATATGTGAAATGAAAAAAAAATCTACCATTTCAAATAGAATGAAATGCAGAACTGACTCTAAAGAAATGTATTCGTTTCATTTTGGCAATTTTAGCATAGTCGAAACTCATGGTCAGCCTGAGAAAGTGTATTAGTTTCTGTTACAGTCTGTAGATTTTTATTGTATTATTCGGCCAGTGGATTTCAAAACATATTAGGTGTAATATTAACCTTCTTTAGGAATGATTAGAAGAAGTACCAGGGAACTAATGAAATTACATCATTCTTACTTGACCTCCTCAATCCCTTAAAATATCATCCATTTTGATCAACTCAATAGCTCTGGCACATTTGCTCTAGACCTCTCTATTGACCTGGTGCCAATTAAGAAAGGCAGGCAAAGGAATTGTAAATAACAGGTAGGGAACATATTTTGCAGTCCTTGTAAAAAGAATCGGAGGAGAAATTTCGAAGCCTTAAAAGTGTCAGAACAGCAATCTTATCACTTTAAGGGAGATAGAAAGAACTCCTAAAAAGCCAGTTTCATCTTTGTAGACCTCTCTTAAAAATTCCATCTTACTTTGTGAATTTCCACAAATAGAATTATTTCTGTGGAGCAGCAAATTAAGCCAACATAGTTATTATGCATGAAAGCTGCATGCTTTGAACTGCTGTCTTATTAAAGATCATTTCACTGTCTTATGTCAGATACACTCTGCTGTCAAACCATGATTGGAAAGCAAATACGTGTTTTAGATAAAAGGGCTAGAAGTGAATAATGTCAGTATGTGAAATGGTGTTTTATAATTAGCAAGTAATACGATGTTAATACCTGGATTTCCGGCAGGAGTTTCAGTTTGTTCACTCTGGGGACAACTTCTGAGGGAAGCTGATCTGCCCTGTCAGGAAGGCTCTAAAATCGAGATTACTGAGGCCGATGATTTGGAAGAATTCAGATTTTTTAAACACACTTCCATTTCCCCCAAACAGTTATTTGTTAGGTTCTTAGTTATTTATAGTAAAGTTTATGTTTGGGTAGAATGAGCTGGACACTTTTCCTGGGCAGAGATTTTAGAAATAAAACAGATGTGTGAGCTCTCTGAGTTTGAACTAATAGAAGGAGAAATAAAACAGCTGATCCTAGACTATGCTGTCTACCAAGGGCTGTAGTAAAGAAGACAGAAAGTGGTAGGAAAAAGCAATCAGGAAGATAATCTTGTTAAGATCAATTTTTTTTTTCAGAGAAATAATAGGGCTAAAAATAGAAAAAAAGCAGTCTGTGGAAAAAAGCAGGTGATTATTTCCAAGAAACAATTGGATCTAGAAACGAGGCTAAAGAGAGTTAACTTTGTTCGATTTAGGAATAGAGCACTAAAGATACTTTTGGGCCAAATGCTGATCTTAAGTATTTTGCCCATACACCAGATGTTGGTGCAGAAACATGTCTGAAGATAGGTAACTATTAATATTTTTATGCTGAAATAAATGGTGAATGGCTTCCCTGTATGCCTAAGCTGAATAAAAGCACATCTGAAATTCCCCTTTTTACCCACACATGTTTGTGCTGCAACGCCGTGTGAGAGCTTTCTTTCCTTGGCTCTTGAACTGTGTGGGGACTAAAGGCAGTGCAGGAGAAGATGCTGACTATAGAATTTCTTTAACGTGGCTCTGTCAGAGATTTGTAGGAAGTTAATGGCTGTGTGTATTCTGATAAAATGATGTTGGTAAATATGAGTGTTACAGCCTGGTAATCAGTTTCAGGAATCATTTATATAAATCTGTAATTTAAGCTAATTGAAGTATTGGATGACCAATTCATTAATCTTTTTCAATTAAACTGGCTTTTTTTTTTTTTTAAACATTCAGGACAGTTGTTGGTTAATGATAGATTTAGGACATTTTAGGCCAAGAAAGAAGGAACAGAAGCCAGAAGGAGAGGACTTAAGAACTCCGTGGCTTTGATCTATATTTTGGTTCAACGTGGATGGTTTCAAATAATTTGAACTGACTTGGTTACAAACATGAGATAGATAGCTGGGAAAAAGAAATAATTTAAACAAATGTTAAGATTCCCAGTTCCAAGTCCAGATTATTTGACATCTATTTGTGGGAATAATTGGAAGTTCAGACATACTTGTGCTGACAATATCCACTTCTGTGTAAGTTTTATTACAAATAGGGAAGTCAAAGAATTAGGTATTTCTAAAAAAATAGTGTCAAATAACAAGGTTTCTTTATACTGCAGAGTTAGATAGAGCCCCAGTTGGATAATGCAGGTCACTTTAAAGGGGGCATCATAAAACCAGGACAGTGTTCCCTGTGTGTTGAATTCGAACCCCAGTCTTCTCCCCACCCTGCCTTGAGGTAGCATGCCCAGCCCTGAAATCAGAAGGATGCCAATTCTTTAGCAAGAAAAACAAGAAAAGATACAATGGCTAGGTTAGAGCTATTTGACTCTACTGGGATGTTAGTTTCTCCATTTTTAAATGTGACCTGCGTTTTTTATCAATTGTTATGCTTACATTTTTTAAAATAATTGACGTGACATGATTGGGAAGCCCTTCATGTAATTTTTATTGCCAGTATTCAGACTTTGAGGCTCACATATAGACCAATAATAGGACGAGATTGAGCTCTTCAAAAAGTAATTACAGCTTCTTTCTTTTTAATCTGCTTTATTATGCTTGTATTTAAACCATTGCTGAATGGAGGCCTGAGTTGTTAAACACCAACCTTGCTGTTTCATTAGGCCTTAATGTGCTGTGCATTAGGGCATTTGCGTCATCTTTATGGGGGAGCTCTGAGCCCTTAGATCAGGTTATAAAAGTCGGAGCCCTGTCAAGATGTGCTTCCCACGGGAAAGTGTTTAACCTATACCAAGTTTATAAATGCTCACGATGTCCCTGTCACCTTTCCATATTAATATACCTTTTCTGTTACTTGGCATTATTCAGGACTCCCATAGCTATGGGATTCCAGCTCTTAAATTTATTTTGCCCTTTCATGAAATTTGAAGGTTAATAGAAAAATCTCACTATTCACTTACCAGTTACTGTCTTGTGTTTGAGCTGGGAGCATTATATTTCTGTTCTGTAAATATTTTTATCGGAGTTGCACAACGTGTCACGTTAGAAGCAGGAAGAACAGATTTTAGAGATAGGAAGTCATCCTTTGTATTTGTATTTTCAACATATTTAACTCTTACGAGCTTTATAGATCCTTAACATATGCCAGTACATTCATTTGAACAGGGGGTTAACAGCTTGGTCTGGAAAAAAAAATAAAAAATCAGAGAACATTAATCTCATTTTGGTTTATTTTGACTTTTCCTGAATTTTACTTCCAAATATTTATTTTTTGCCTTGGAGTTTCCTTTGATCTGGAGGAGGAGGGAAGTTGTAGATCTTAGCAGGTTCTGTTTCTTTGTTTTTCTGAGTGGAGAACAATTGCACTTTAGGACAACTAGTGAATGAGACTTTAATCACTTCAGACTGTCTATAGAGTACAGAATGTTTGTCATATGAAGCCATACCAGCTTTCAGGTCTGTGTCTCTTTAACAGGTAATAAAGTGTGCAAAATAAAACATATGCTCACCCTAAGGCCATCAAGCAAAGCAAAGTTCTGGCATTTACCAGGTCATGTTCATCATGGAGATGACCCAGCTGGACAGTGTTAGCCACCCCAGTGGAGTAGAATAGTTTGACCATCTTCACTGCCTGCCTGTCGGTTAAGTCTCCGTTTGGTGTTGCTCCATGAGGGTTAGTGTGATAAATATCGACCTCTCTCTAATTTTTGGCTTACCTGCTGTCCTTTAAAGAACATGTATCGCTTTCTTGAATATCTGTATCTCTCTCTAGGCAGAATGTTTAGAAGAAGAAATCATGGTTATTAGTGCCTATAATCAAATTTAACATTACTTAACTCTTAATAAAAATGTTTTAAAAAGCTAAAAAAAATTATCCTCAAATGGCCTGCCCTGCTAACCATATCAAGTCAGCGGATTAGTCAGTGCATTCTGTTTCTTGGGTCATTATAATTACAGCATACATGCAGCTGTTGGAAACACGGATCCATAAGCAGTGTCTCACCCCAGGAAAGTTTGGAGGGAGCAGTTCCCTTTCATTTTCTGATTTCCTTCATGGAGTCTGTTTCTGAGAATCATTAGACCACAGACCTCTTGATTTCTTCATCATATGGTTTTAAGTTTGAAGTAAGTGTTGGGCATTTTCAGAATATCAGAAAAGACCTTGCTTTATTTAAATTGGAAGTCAAATGTAAAATTTATTTTTCTGTATTACTTGTAATTTGATCCCCACTTTTTTTC